TCGAATATCAATGGAGTGCTTACAATGTGTTTACTCTATGCAAAAAATAAATTATTGGGGGTACTAAGAAGAACAGGCAATCCTCCACTTATGGGCCCCCCAAGGATGTAAACACATTCCAGTTCAGCTGGATAGAAAGAGCGAGAGGGCCTCAGAGGGGAAAAAGCACAATGAGGAAATTAACTAGGTTGGAAAAAGGCAATTAGACTGAAGCATTATAGAAAAGAAAAAACATAGTTAAAGTTCTGATATTTCATTAATCTACACTAAGAGCACATTGACAATGTTTCTGTGTCTGTGACTCTGTTGAGTTGAAAACTTCTGGGATGAGACCTGTACATTTCTCATCGCAATGCCCACTGCCGTGCCATGTTTCACAGACTGGGCCCAAGTCGATGCTCATGTGCATCGACACACTCATGTGCTCATTTGGCAAATTCCTACTGAGCAACACCATGTTCCAGGCACTGATATAATAACTGTGTATAAACTGTTGAACGAAGAGATGATATATGTCCCTACTCTCGAGTTTAAGTTCTAGAGGGGAGGGAAAGATAATTCAAGAGGTAAACATATAAGTGGGATAATGTCCAGTCATATAAATCTATGAAAAATGAAAAGTTATGTGCTAAGGACAGAAGTTGAAGGACAGAAGTGTGACATTTCAGTTTGAGTGGTCAAGGAAGGCCTCTCTAAGGAGGTGACATTTAGGCTAAGAATTTAATGACAACAAGCCAGCTTCCAGGTGGATACTGCCAGCCTGAGAGTGCAGGTCGGTTGCCACCATCGGTCAGGAATAAGCTTGGCTGGTGTGAGAAACATTACAAATAAGTAAATAAATTAGAGAAAAATCCAAAATGAGGTTGGAGAGATAGATAAGGGCTGGAAAATGCATGGCCGTGAGTTCACGAAAAGAAACTAGAACTTCTCCCCTAAGTGTAATGGGAAGAAACTGAAGGGTTTCATGAAAACACAACATAATGTGACTTGTGTTTCCTCTCATAGCCTCTATGTAGAAAAGGAAAGGGAGAGAGAGGAGTGATCAGAAAATCAAGGAGACCAGCTAGCAAGCTCTTAGAGCAACGAGACAAACTATACCCATGGTTGGGTTAGAGTGGGAATATCAGCAATGGAGAGAAATAGATGCAAATATGGGAGTGAAAGAAAGTGTGGGATCAAAGGTGCCTCGAGGGATGTTGTTTACATAACTGGGTATCTCTCAGATGGAAACACTAAGGAAAGAACAGGTTAAGGAAAAACCTAGAATTCTCTTATGACCGTTTAAAGTTTATAAGTTGAGAGATGACATAGTAAAATCAACTCATTGAAATAATATTTAAATAATTTACTATCATCAGTGACTCCATGAATATTCCTTGTGGCTTTTGCAATGGTTATTTCCTTTTGCTTTCCTTAGCAGAACACGCAGTCTGAACCTTGCTTATGCCATCACCTCTGATCGCATTGCTCTTCCCGTGTCTATCCCTCTAGTGAATGATCTATACTTTCTCTAATAATAATGAAGGCCATTACCTAAAATCGCTTAGTGAGTGCCAGGCACTGTGCTAGTGTTTAGATGGTGTCAGTTTACTTTTGACTAGGCTCTTGTGCTCCAAGTTTTCTGGGCATGTCCTACCGTGAGTCTATAGAGGACTGAAAACATGATTCCCAAATTGTTGGACTCTCCTCTTTTGAGAACCTTGCGCACAGAGAACACATCTGACTCATCTTTCTATTACCAGCACACAGTAAGCACTCAGTAAAAAAAGTTGTAAAAGTGAACTATTCATCACGGTTACAAGGGCCTGGTGGAGAGGAGCACGGGGAGTTATGTAACGGGCACAGAGTTTCAAGCTGGGAAGACAAAAATGCTCCGGAGATGGATGGTGGTGAGGGCTGCACAATAACACGAATGTACTTAATGCCACTAAATTGTACACTTAACAATGGTTGAAATGGTCAATCTTATGTTGTGTGTATTTTACCACAATTAAAAACTTGAACTGCCCTGGATGGTGTGGCTCAGTGGACTGAGCTCCAGCCTGTGAACCAAAAGGTCACTGGTTCAATTCCCAGTCAGGGCACATGCCAGTGTTGTGGGCCAGGTCCCCAGTAGGGGACACAGGAGAGGCAACCACACATTGATGTTTCTCTCTCTTTTTCTCTCCCTTCCCTCTGTCTAAAAATAAATACATACAATCTTAAAAAAAAAACAATATGAACTATCTGTGCCCATAAATCAGTATTGCAGGAAAGGAGGTATTGACTGTAATTTATCCCGGACATGAATGTAAAAATCTGCTGAGCTACGAGTAGGAGAATCTACTACAGAGAAAAATGGTACTGCAGAACTGGAGCGAGTCATAACTATGTGTCTAATTTCTTCACCACATCAGTGGAAGAAAACTACTAAAAGCATAGCCAGCACTGGGAAGCCTGTAAAGATTGTGTTCAGAACAGACTGGCTAGGCTCTTGAAACATCTATTCCACAGGATGCATTTTCCTGTGCCAAAAGAATAGAGGGAGGTTGCTCCTATGATTTCAGAATTGGCCACCTTGATATACATCTCCATAGTAATTTCCCAGTGGCTCCGCCCTTTCAGACCAAAAGTCCTTGGAATTGTTGGGGAAGCAACGTGGAAGAAAATGTATCCAAATAAAAAGCTCCAGGTAGCCAAGATTTTGACTTGCATGTGTACCATCTACAAAGGGACCTTCCCGCCATCTGATAGAACCTCGATTCCTGACCAACAGAGGCCAGATTCTTAAAAAAAAACTTTCCATAATGTCTAGGAGTTCTCCATGGTCTCCCATCCAATTACTTACCCATCGCAGCTTGAGATCGTATCGGTCTCACAGTTTAAAGACAGAACGGCTGCCAACAGGCCAAAATGATCATTAATAAGTTAACTGTTACCAGATAAGATGGAAATCTATGCCAGTCCTATTTTAAAGTAATCTCTACTATAATTACTACGCAAACCGCTGCCAAGACGCCAGCTCTGACGTGGGAGCGTGGCGATGAGGTTCTGTGTCCGGTCACAGTTCAGTAGGTGCGTGTACCCTTAAGCAAGTGCCCTGCCCCAGCCCCTTCCTCCCAACCCCCACAAGTAGCATATGATGCTTCAAACGTATGAAATACAAGAACAATGCAACAGGTGCTTTGCATCCCCCTTCCATTCTCTAAAAACCTAAAATCTACATACTTTTATTAACCAATGCCACCCCAATAAATTTAATAAAATCAAAAACCCTCTAAAACGGAATGGCTTGGTTCTGTTTGTCAGTTGACAGAGGATAGGCCCCCTGTGGAGTGTAGCAGGGGAAGAGGACCAACCGGAGTCCCCTGCACCCTCCACCTAAGCAAATGCAAAGATGAACTCCTAATCAGTATCCCACCCTCACTCCACCAGTTCACCATCATCCCATTTTGCAATGGGATTTTTTGAGCATGAGAAGGAAACAAAAAATTAGAGAAAGAAAGAGTGATAATAGTTATAACAATAAATCCGCATATAGAACTTGGCTTCTGCTGAACATTGTTCCAAAGGCTTCCAAACATGAATTCATTTTATCTTCACAACATTGCAATGTAGGAACAATTTATAGATGAGCAACTTCAGACACAGAGAAGTTAGAACCAGCTCAGAGTCTCTCAGTAAGTGGAAGGGAAGAGGGAAGAGAGGAAAGTGAGCCAGGATGCAGGGATGATCCAACAGGGAAGAAAAATGCAGACAGAAGGCAAACCGCACTGGCTCTCAAAACCAAAAGCACCCACCAAACACCCAGCTCGTCACAAATATTTCCATAAAATGCTGTGGTATTCTTTATTAGCCCACTCTAGTACTGAATAATTGAATATTTGTCTAACTAGATTTTAATGGAAAAGGTAATAGATGAATATGGCAAACCTGTCAAATAGTACTGAAACATAGACAGTAAAAAACACATTCCGCCTACCCCGGACCTCCCGCGGTGGCCACTGTGGACATTTCTGTGCGTACCCTCTAGCGCACATTCTCACCTTGCGTTAACCATCCTCTCTAAGCCCATTTCTTCTTGTTCTGCCCCTCATGGAAACTAACAAGTTAGTCCCGTCCATAAATATATGAGCCCATACACTTAATTTAATAAAAAACAGTTTCCCACTGCTAAGCAATATAAGTGATTGCGTAGTTGAAAATTAGAACCAATAACTTAATAACAGTAATGGTGACTCTAGGAAAGTAGTAATTACCAGATTATACCTAATTTGCATTCCTATCTTTTATTTTCGGAAGCAACAAACAAAAGCCATGCATTCCACTGCTGACGTATAATCTCCAAGAGCTGATAAATAGCCAATCTCTTTTCTATCACTTACTTGGCAATACGTGTAATGGAAAACATTAGGTGCCAAGGATGCCCAACCCCTAGGATACAAAGCCTAAAATGGCAGGACAGAAGATGTCTTTGCTGAGACCAGCAACGTCACACTGTGTGACCATAACCACAATGGTCACGAAGGACGATGGTGCAAATCGGGATGCCGAGGAGAGCTCACGCTCACAGGCTTCCCTGGGTGCCAGCCAGCAGCCAAGGCAAACCACTTTACCGAAAGGGGTGGGCAAGGGTCAGTTTATCGTTGTGGCCAAACACAGTTGATTCTTGTATTATTACTTATTAATTATTGTATTCTTTATTTGTTTTAAATAAACCTTAAACATACTTTTGTCCAATCCTGTATGTGAACTCACTTCAGCATTAATACCACCTCAGGAGGCCATTACTATTATCCTCGTTTTACGGAGGAAGAAATGACCCAAAGAGGTAGAAACTCAATCACACAGCTCCCCTTGGTCACACAGTGGAAGGTCCGACGGGCCCTCAGGCTCTAGCTCTGTCTTTGCGCCTCCCTGTCACGTGGCATTGTGCTGCAGCAGTCCTGTTCACACTGTTCTAGAGACTCATAAAAGAAATGCATGGAAGAAATATCACGTTAGGTGGTAGGAAAGAGGAATTAGGAAAGCTTCCAGGAAGAGGTACTGCTTGCATTGAAGTTTCAAATATGAATAAGACAACAGTTAAAGGGATGTGGTATGAGAAAGAGAACAGAAACAGCCAATCCCTTTTGGAAATCACATCATTTGCCCAAGGTGGACTGAGGCTGCACTGCAAGGATCCGAGAGCAGTCTGGAAAGTGAGGGCCCTTCCAGGACACAGGACATCACCCTGCTCAGGATGGTAACATTTATCTCCATTGTACCTCGTCCTGTACCTTATGGAAAACCGTCATTTGAATTTTTAATAATTTCAGAGACATGTTGGTCTTGCTGGAAAGTACAACTTTGGGAAATCTTAAAAACACCTATGTTTAAACTCTCTGCCTAAAAATCTATCTCTGTGTAGTAGTGAGGTCATTTCCTAAATTATTAATGAAAATATTATTAATCCATGAATAAAACTAAGTTACATTCAGATGTATTAGATAATTTACCCTTCTTTTTCTATGCTGGCTATGAGTACTTAAAAGATCAAATTGTTAATTTGCTTTATTCATTACTGGTATTAAAATCAGTATAATTTATTCTTCATAAATCGGGGGGGTGTACAAAGATGTTTAATGTTATTTGTCCTGATAAAGCCCAAGTTAAATCAATTGCTTTATTTTTGCCTGGGTCATCTTTCTATCCTTTCAAAACAGAGGCCCTTTGTGTGTCTTTTCTGAGACTTTGTGGGTTTCTCCTATTTATGACAAGGCCTCACAGACAATAATCCTTCTACAATACTGTCTGGCAATCCCTATGTAACCTATGATTCATGGCAAGATGCATGATTTATGTCCGTAGGTTGGCCGCGCAGTTCCCATGCAGTCTTTTCCCACCTGCTGCTACCCCCACGGTGTGGTTCTGTGATCACAGCTTTACCTCGGTATTGAGTAGTGAAGACACTACTACCGGGAGTTCCGGCATTTTCACACTCCGTCTACTTTTCCTCCTATACTTTGGCCCTCACTGTCTGATGGCGTAAGTAGATGCTTTCTCACACATTATTGAATGTTCACATAGTCCTTTTAACCATTTTTCATGAATGTCTAGTATTTCTTTCTTTGTCTAACTATAATTTTGTTTCCAGAAACTTTCTCTTTCTAGCTTTTACCCCTTTCGAGGTCTGTTCAAGTTCAGCGTAGACTGATATTGTCAAGCTGTTTACTCTCACCTTCTTCCTATGAATTATTAAAGTGATATTAAGTGTTTAAAAGAGTAAACATAAAAAAAGTTGTCTTTCTCCTTCTTTAAGGAGAAGGCTCTAAAAATTTCTACGTGCTTAAAAATTTCCTGTTAATTATTTTTCTTCAAGTAATGCCACTTTTACTTTAAGATTCTGAAGACGCATCAAATTTGTGTGTTTGTCTATTCTGGCTTAAAGTTGAAAAAGTACCATAATGTAGTAACATTATATAGGACAAACAAAACATGAGGGCTCCAGGACAGTTTTAGGGAGGGCCTCCTGGTCTATAGGCCTTGAGTTTGAAGCCTTCTCTTTGGGAAAACTCCCTTATGGCGATACCAATTAAATCCCGAATTAGGTATCCAATAGCGTTTGCCTGCTATTTGTATGTGTATCTTCTTGAAGTATATACTATAGTTATAATGGTAAACTCAGGCAATTTATTTTAACAAAAGGCTTCAAAATATTAAATTTCATTCTGGCATAATGGTTAACATATTTTACTCTGAAGAAAGAACTATTTAAGTTTCTCACAATGAGAGGCCATCTGAACACCAAGTTGAGATGGGGATTTTAAACTTCCTCTCAGTCAGAAACATGTCTATGTAAGACCGAGAAGGTGGATTATAAATAGCAATAACAAGATTAGATTTTTGACAATTAACTTTTATGAAAATTTGTTATTTGCTTGTGCTATATCCTCCCCTTTAAAGGGCTGACTTATCAACATTTTCCTCACATTTCATTGGAGATTTTCAGCTCATAGAATTATTTTTAATAACGGTAGCAGTTTCAGAGAGATTACACTGTTATTTTTTCTCATTATGATAGGTTATACACCACGAGTGTCCTTAAAAGTTAAAATTATCATTGGTACCCATAACATTACATTAAAATTTTAAACCTGGAAGAAACTTTGGGTTTCATTGGATTCAGTCTCTCCCTTTCTTATCACCTGCAGAATAAGGCTGTTGGCCATCTGCCCAAGCTCACGAATAGCAGGGACCCCTGAGAAAAAGCTCCTGACTCCTAGGCTACTGCTGATTCTCCCACATCATGTCCGTCTACCTTCATAGGCAGTCTTGATTAGTTCTTTTAAATTTTTTTTGCTTATTTTTTCTTGGGTTTGCTGGCATCCCACTAATTTTCCCTTTATGCTAAAAATTAAAGAATTGAAAACGTTTCTGTGCATTGATGAAAAGGGTTTGTTTTTTTGTTGTTGCTTAATTTTTTCCTTAAGAAAAAAATATTTAGCAATAACTTATAATACTTGTGTATAACTTATATTTATATATACACACACACACACACACCCCTTCTGATTTTAGATAGAGGAGAGCTGATTCAAATACATTTTTAAAAATTATATTCTTAAAGCCAATAACAAGTTGACTGGCAAAATGGCGGCCAAAAGGGCAGGAGTCCTTCCTGAGTCTTCCTGTGTTTCTGCACTATTGCTCTGAGATCCTGGAGCAGGGCAGAGTGATGAGATCTCATGGAGTGGGGGAATGTGAGTAATTCCTAGGCTGATCTTAACCAGCTTTGGGCTTTAGGCAAAGGCACTTAGCTTCCCCAGGATTTTATTTCCTTCATCTCTGAAATGACAGTCAAGCTAACTGACCTCTGACCTCCCTTTCCTACTTTTGAATTGAAACAATATTCCCAAAATACACTGATGTCTCTCAAGAAATGCACTACGGTAATCCGACGTCTTGTCAATTCACATCAATCATTAGTGGGACATATCTAAGAAAGTCTGAGCGAGCTTGATTAAGCAAAGAATGTCAAACTCAGCCAACCTGAATCAAACAGATTTGATATGAATGAAAAATGTATTGTTCACACACATAGTATGACTGAAAGCAACAACTTTATCAAATATTTTCCAAATTATCTGCTAATGAATCAAAAAGATTGTTCATATAGTTGTAAGAGCTATTGTTATACTTTCTTTTCTTTGCTTTTATATTTACAATTGCTTTGGGTTGTTTACTGTTCAATCGTGTTCTGAACTTTTCATACAGTGAAGAGTAAATGTATAGCTGTAAGCGAAAGAATGTTAGGATTTTTGTTTATATCCTCATTATTTCCCTACACACAATTCATTTCTCTGCTCATTTTCATTAATGTTTCCCTCCTTTCTTTATTTCTTGTTCCCTCTCATTATCCTTCTAATAGGATAATGTCCTTCCATTGTCCATTTTTTCTCATTTGTCTCTTATCATTACCCTAACTACCTCATTCTGGCATCCCACTAATTTTCCCTTTCGGCTAAATATTAAAGAATCTAAAACATTTCTGTAAATTGCTGGAAAAGATTTGTTTTCTGCCTTCAGAAAAAAATTAGTAGTAATTTACAAAGCCTTTATGCATTTCCTTGTGGCTTTGGACAGAGAAGAGTTTATTAAAATATGTTTTTAAAAATTATATTCTCAAAAAAGAAATAATACATTACTTATTTAATTAACACTTTACACTAACACTTTATTTTTCTTACCCACTTTTACATCTACTAAACTAAACATCTACATCTACTAAAAGGGAAAATGAAAAAGCCTCATAAAATTATACTAATTCTAATGTTCCTTAATGTAAAAGAAATTCACACATAAAACATAATTTTGTCATGACTGGACTCTGAGAAGCAACCATTTCCTTCTATTTCAGAAAATTTGGAGGTCCCCTGCCTTCCTAGACCATCAGCAGCAACTAAGTGTGAGGCCTCTCACATTGGGCGCAGTGGTAATCGCCCACCCAGCAGTGATAGGCATTTCGTCAAGCTCAACAAACACTAATTTGAGTGCTCATATTCTGTGTAAAAGGCACTAATCGTTAGCTAAACAAACAAACCATTTGAGTGTACAACTGTCAACATGACAAAAATCTGCTCACCTACGGACCAAGCTCATGCCCTGGCCAGCCGTGGAGGGTCTCTAGACCTAATTATCCGCGCTGCTGCTAAATCACACGGGCCAAGTTAGCTCAGCATGCACAGAGCATTCTTTGCCTGTAAAGTCTAAAGGTAGTTCGGAAAAAATCTCAAATCAGAAGTGCCTTTGGAGCTTCACTGCCGCTGCCTCAGGAAATGCTTTTGCCTCCTCTGGTCTGGGACAGCCTTTGCTGGTCTCCCTGACCCTTTCCTCTCCCCTCACTGGTCCACTCACTCTGGCTCTTCTATTGACTGCGAAAAGCAAACGTATGTGATCAGGCCACACCCTCACTTCAAAACTAACACTGGCTCTTTGCAACCAGGTGAAGTCCAAACAAGCTTTAGCATCGGATGAAACTTGTCACAATGCCATGCTTCAGTCCCTTGCTGCCAGTGAGACCTCTGGCCATGGGCAGGAGCGTGAGAAGTGCCTCATAAGAAGGACAAAGTGAGTGAGAGACAGAAAGAGAGAGGGACATCACGCACAAACACGTGTGCATGTGTAAAGCATACAGCACCCAGCATTTACTAAGTATTAAATGTATATTATGTCCCTCACTTCCTTCTCAATTGCTGGATGGATTTCCAGTCTCATGATATGATGTAGTCAGCCCTCACTATCTGAAGCAAACGGTGCTGTTCCAGTACCTTCTGTCACTCCCCCAGCCCAGCCCTGCTTTAGAGACATTAGTGCTGGCGGACTCATCGGGAACTCCCCCTGGAGTGTGTGTGTCTTACCTAGGTTGCCCTTTACCCTTTCTTCCCTTGCAAACGTGCTCTAATAATTTAACACCAACTTCTTATGTCTTTCTCTAACCAGTGAGCCCCAGCTCCTTTCTGCATGTAAGCATATTCTTTCATTCACTCACCCACCCATCCAGAACCACCTGAGTCTGTGATTAGGAGAATGCAGACTCCAGAGCCAGCCAGCCTGAGTCGAATCCCAGCTCGGCCACTCACTTACCGTCTAAACTAATCTTTGTGGCCCAGTGTCTTTAGCTGTAAATAAGTTAAAATCCTTATCTCAGGAAAGTTTGATATATTGTAAAAACAACAAGTGTGGAAGACAAGAGTCTCGGTTTCTTCTCTGGGTTCTGCTCGTTATTACACGAGTGAATTTGGCAAGTTGATGGACTTAACCTTACTGAGTGATCCACCATCACCCTACATGTAAAATGAGGGGACCGACCTCAGCAGTCTCGCTGAGGTCTTGCTGGTGTTTACAATTCTAAAATTTCCTCTTAATCTGTTTATTTGTAATCCCCCATAGCTATTTCTGTAAGTTTCTCTTGCATTAATGTGGCTGCAGAATTCCGTAACACATTGCCAGATCAAATGCCACTGTAGGAAAATTCTTCCAGGTTTTCATTTCTACGTGTTTCCTTCAGACAGGAACGCTTGTACTACAGCCAAAGGGGTTTCCAATAAGGTCCCAATACTGTGCAGTATTAAAGGATTCTGCTCACTAATAGTACAGGGTTAGGAGCCCAACAAATCCAAGATTATGGGAATTTGATATTTTAGGTGTTTGTATCACATGTCAAGGAGCCCAAAGTACTTCCAGTCAAGGATGAGAAGTTGGTCAAACACACATTGTTTCCTGTCATTCACATCTACATTATCTCTCAAATATGAATATTCGATACTAAAAGCATAAAGACATTCCAGAGCTTATGGAATCAAAGAATTTTAAAGTCAGAGGAAACTTGAGCATTTTTAAGACAAATATTCTCTGTTGATGTCAGTTATCACCTTTATATATGAATCCATAGTGTTAAGGAAGGAAGAATAACTAAGAACAACTTAGCTCCCTATAAGAACTCGTTGCATTTTTATTATTATGGAAAAAATAGGGAATCAAAATTCTCACCCAGTAGGAATGAATAAACTTATCTTTATTTATTGTCAACAGTACGTATGTGAATAATTCGTTTTTACTACGTAGCTTTAAGTCTACTTTCTTGTGCTTGTAGAGTTCTGGATCTGGCCTAGGTCTAAACTTATAAAATTGTCACACTACTGAGGCCATAAATGAGCTGGGACTCTTAACGTCCTGAACAATTTTTAAGCAAATAGACCAGGACTGAACCATAGATATTAGCTCATCTTTTTAAAAATACTGAAGTCACCTAATATTCTCATGAGTCTATCTTTACCTCAAACTCACATTTTGGAATTACATTTGTTACCTTATGTCCTAATATGGGGTGTGTGTGTGTGTGTGTGTGTGTGTGTGTGTGTGTGTGTTGGTGAGTACATCTAATTTTTAAGGTGAATTAAGTTTGGAGAAATGACCAAAAAGTCAATCAGCTATGTATTGGAACAAGTGTAGTAAAATGTTTTGCTGGAATCTAGCTTTGCTTCAAAAATCTTTTAACTTTGCTACATTTGAAGATTTTCATAGTGAACCACAGAAAAAAATCAGACTTAAACTTAATGAATAAAATAGATAATCTGTTGGGTAACAGACTGACACTATAAAATAATGAAAACTAAATAAATTATATATATATATATATACCTATAACTGATAAATCTTTTTCTATAGAAATTACATAAGAGGTTTCCCTACTTGCTTCAAACAATGGCAGCACTTTTGGATTAACTGTGTAGTCTTAAAGGAGATATAACTTATTGGGGTCCATAAATTTCTGCAAATGTATTTATTCTAGAACATGGGAGTCAATTTTATGACTTCTCTCCACTGGCCAGGAATGCCAGATGGAGGTGTACCCTGAAGTAGCTCTGTCATCTTCTACTAAAGTATGCTTCTTTTTTGAAAGGACTGTGTAGGCAAGAATGGAGATTTGATCAAACATGTGGAACTGATTGATGCTGGCATTCAGCCCTGAATTCATTTAAATTATGATACCAAATACAGTAGAAAGGGCCCAAGACTTATGAATGGATACTTCCTGTCTTTGAGCGGCCCTCAATCCCAAGGGGTACATAAACCATAAGTCTTGCAACCACACAATCTACTCTTCCTTTTTTCTGTTCTCGTTTCTCTTTTGGAGCCCATGAAATCCTCCTCACAGAGCTACTCCTCCTGAGCCAGTTTTGGTGTAACATTTTTTAAAAACCACAGAATTATGCTGGGAAGTTAGCACCCATTCCATGATAAAACTGTGAAACTGTTTCAAATTCAGAAAAACTGTGGTGGTATCTATCATCCAAAGCTTCAGAAGGAAAAAAATAATTCCAATTTCCCTTTCATGGAACTCATGAAAAAAAAAAAAAGGTGGACGACAGCCACCAACACTGTGTGAAGCAACAGCTCTGCCAAAACTGTGAATAATTAGCAGATTTGAAAATATAAGTAGCTTAAGCCAATCACACATTTGGCAGAGGTGAAAGTTGACTGTGGCAACTTACTATTACAAGTGCACTCTTCTTCAAAAACACGGTTTCCCACCTGTCCCTCGCTGACTGCAGAGAGTCAATTCCCAGTCCCTGCTTCCACGGGCCACAGTGATGCCTCTGAAACCCCGTGAAGATACCAGGATATTTATAACACTGCATACCCAGAGCATTTCAGACTGTTTTCTGAAAAACAGTGTTTTATCATTTAAAATAAATCCATTTATTTTTCCACGTATATATTTTTTCACTTAGAATAAATCATTAAAAGTATCGGAAGTTCACTTGTTATTGAATTATGATAGTGTTTTCAAGTCTACATGGGAACTCTTTCAAACCGTGATGCCTTTCTCCCTCATACATGTGTAATGACTCCACAAAAGTTGGAGTGTGTACTTCAAAAATGAGTGCTGTCCCTCACTTAAATGTCCTCTTTAAAGAAAAAGTATTATACACCAACTCCTAATTAAACACAAGAAAGCATAAAATGAAAAACTAAAAGATTAATGGTATATATGAATAACTGGCTAGCTACATTTTGCTGCTCTCAAAAAATTCTTTTAAATTATTAGTTGCCTACAAAACTTAGGTCATCAGTCCAATTAACCCTATCCACATTATTCTTCTAAGTAAAAATGGCACACACAGTTTTGTATAGAATAATCCTAAAGTACTAGAATGGTAGGGCTTTTAAGATTATTTTCCAGCCTTTTTTGTGCACAGAAATCAGGCTCGTTTCTTTCCCACACAGTATCTGTCTGTTTTCAACTACTAAAATTTTCTTTGCTACTTTCATATGATTCCTTGTTTAACTTTTACTTCTTTAATTACATGCAGACATAGTTTTTTCTTAGTTACTGCTTAATCAATCTATATTTAGAAACAAATGCACTCTTTTTTAAAATATGAGAGTTTCACCTTTGATAGTACGTCTGTTCTTCTCTATATTTATGTGCTGGTGGTAACTGATGATTTTTCAAAAATATCTCAGAACACAAGAATTTATTTCTAAAATAATTCATAGACAAGGCTTATAACTGGCGCAAAAATAATTCTGCTGCTCAGATGCAAAGGAATCATTTTTGAAGTTTAAGAGCAAGGATTCCATTTCCTGCTCACGCTTGCTGTTTGAATAATGGCACAGTCTAGAGATATAGCAGTTAAGTCTGTAGAATACAGCAAGGTCACTATGAATTCTCCAGAGCCTTAGGTTTCTCCACAGTCACTCAGGTTAAAAAAAAGTCCCAGTTAGCGGTCCCATTTGAGGAGGTAAGACACAATGATTACTCAAAAAACATCCAAATCAGATTAAGTAAAATCCTGGGGTCTTGTGGTCCAATCTACCTCTGTTTTGCCTGGGAAAGACTACTACTCTCATTTGACTTAGGAAAAAATTAAATAATCATTTAGTAGAAGCTGACTTTTATAGAACTCAAAAAACTTTTTTCTTGGCAGAGTACCTGTGGCTGTGACGGAATGAGGCCAAAATATTTGAGGAGCTTCTTTTGCCCTGGGCTTCAGAGAGATTGCACCAGAAAGTCAGAAGTAAAACAGAACTCCAACTGTATTACCCACAAAGTCACTCAATGCACCCTGGGTTAAGGTGATACATTTTGCTTGTCCTTGGCACCCGCGACTCAGGCTTACATTTGCACCCAATGGCGATTTCCATTATCTAGGCGTAGGGCCCCAGTACGAAGCCTGCATGTACTGACTTTTAAGAAACTATCAGTTACAGAAATATGTTGCTATGTGATGACTTTTACCCTTCATGTTGCATGGCTTCATTCAATTATGCATTTGACAACATTACCGATTATAATAACATAAATCCTATGTTTGTGGAGAGGCTACCATGTGCCAGGCTATTTTCCGTTTAAGAGATACACTATGTGATTAATAATGGCATTGTAGAAGCTTCTATAAATTAAATATTTAATGGGGATTTTTTAAAAACCCGCTATTCACTATTTGTTTTGAGACAGCCAAATTCTCCCTGCACTCGAGCTGCAACCAGCACTTTCAGTCCGGAGGGTCTTATGGGCAAGCTGCGATTGTCAGAGAACTGCATAACCCACTAGGTGTTAATAAAACTCAGGATTGCCAAAGGCTCCATACTTTACAAAGAGGGGGCAATGGAGAAACTGAAGGATCGGACACCATCTTCCTGTTGGAAAGTAACACTCTGGGTGTGAGCTGAAGTCACTGGTTCATCACCCATACCTCTCAGTACCATGTCTTTTAAATTGCAAGTAGCATAGTCCATATTCCATGGCTACTCACTGGTAACAATCCCGTACCCCTTGGGATAGGTTAGGGTGCAGAGGAGAAATGTGTCCCTGGAGAAAGAGACAGGAGAAGAAAAGAGGTTCCAGCTTTCATGTCTTTTTCCTCACTGCTGGCAATAATACATTCATATGCTCACTGTGCAAATTAATTAAATGCAGCCTTTTAAGAATGTGTTAGTTTATTTTGAATAATTCCACAATTCTCTAGGATAACACTGACAATTGTGCTGTAAATGAAGCCCCTAGACAAGGTCCAGAGAATTTTAAAAAGAAAAAAACCAAAAAAAAAGCAAAAAAAAAAAAAGAAAGAAAGAAAAACCACTATGTACACAAACCAATTTCAAAACATTACAGAATGAAATAATATTAATTAAATTTTCAAAAAAGTTATTACAATAAAATGATACAGCTTTATTCAGAATTTCCATCTTTGCACCATGAAGAAAGAATACTATGTGTAAGTTTTTGCAATACAGTGACACACAGATTTTAAAAATACAGCTACAGTTTGGACTAATACTCAGATTACAAATGAATTCAATAGTATATCATTGTTAACAGTCATTGTTATAATACTAATGCAACTTCAGGATAAAATCTGAAGTAAACTTTTACACAAAAATTGCTATTTTCCTAAGAGTAAATGAGTTCTCTTCCCTTCTGTCAATAGGGTCAAATGAACATTGTCCCAAAGGGGACAGTCACAGCGACTCAATACCTCAGAATTAGAAAGCATTTTCAAAGTCAGCCTGAATTATCAAGTCTTCTCTTTCAGTCCAATGAAAGGATCTTTATATACTGGGGCTCACAGTTCTAATGGTAACAGGCAAATTCTATTCTTTGTATTATCAGTAGCAATAACCAGGAAGCAGTTGAACTAACCCACCTGTTCAACTGCCTCCAGCTCTCACTCTTTGTCTGGATCTTCATGGACCCTCCCGAGTCTCTAGCGCACGGACTGTGTCATGCAAGCTCCCCCTGTATGAACACTGCAGATATTTGCTCATTTTACTGATTAAAATGCTAAAACACCAGGAAGTTAGGGAACTTACCCCCAAAACACAGAATTTATAAATAGCACAGCAAAATTTCTGGTGTTTTGACTTCAAATTAATATGTCCTCTTGCAAAGTGCAAGTAAAAAAAAAGGAGCTTTCTTAGAAGTGTCCTCATTTTTTACACTCTTGTGAATGGGGAAAAAAATGGAACCCATCGCTGAGTTCCATTTAACATCTCTCCCCCTGAGACATTGAAACACTAAAGTAACACCCTCTATTAAAAATAATTTGTATTTATGTCATGAACACACTGCTATTTATGTTTATAAGTATATAAGTATTAATGTCACATAGACATTAATGTATGGAAGATAGTAATTGCAAAGAAATAAAACTGTTTTCAAAAGGTTTTAATTCATCTGAGGACTTAAACAAAAATAGTCATAAACTCTTTTTAGCTAATCTGTAATCTATTCCACTGACTCATTTTCAATGATGTTATAAGCAAAATAATTTATCTGTCAATTATTACATGATCAAGAAATAAAAATAAAAAACAGTGGGTGATATAAGAGAGCAGACAGTCTTTATGCATCTTCACTATATTTAAATCCATAAGATAAGTCAGTTTGCTCTTTCAATTTACAGACAGAACAGTTAATTAATCACTCAACTGCTAACGAATGTTACTCAGGCTTCACTTGGCAATTATGTGGTCACTCAGAGAATCAAAGGCAATTAAGTAGCTAATCAATGAGCTCCCCTCTTCAATAGATGACAAAGACTGCAAGGTTTTATCTCTTGTTCTTCTAAATAAACTAGAGAAAACATACATCTTTTTATCAGCATATTAGGCTGAGAAGACTTGAAACTCCAATATTATTTTCAACTTTTTTTATGTAGATTAAATCCAATGTGCTAATGTTTATATCTACAGTGTAACAAAGCATCAAGTATTAGAAACTAGATTTAGGTGAGAAAAATCACTTCACTGAATAAGATAACCAAAGAGGACCGATAGGCAATTATTCAGCTGACTGAAAACAGAAATGAAGTGAAGTTGTCCAGCTCTCTGTTTTTCTAATCTACAAATTATTTTAAATCCTCTGTAAAAAGATTTCAATGGGATTTCAAACAATGATTTTCAAACGCTCAGGTAGAAGAACATTTCTGCTGACTACTGATAGCTTTATGAACTCCTGAGTTAAACCACTTCTGTGGATCACAGCATGCTTTATAGTTTCCTGAAAGAAAGTGAACCTGTTTGAAATATGAGTATTTAGAAAGTTCGCCTCTCTTGTGGAATGTAGTCATAGCAGAGAGCAGGCTGGAGTGGCAGGGGTTTCTACACGAGGCAGGCATTGAAAAGTAAAAGAAAGAAGTGTATATTCTTATATTATACAGTCACACTAATAAAAGCAATAAAACACATCCAGAAGATGCTTGACATGAACGATTTCATAAGCCTGGTATCGATCCCCAGCTTCTTTTCAAGTGAGGTTGCTTTGCAGGAACCCCTTCCCCTGCGCATTTATTACCCGCACCCTCTTCTAAGCCTTGTGCTAAATATAGGAACAGCTTAGAAGTTCGTCTTATGCAATAACATGACAATTTATTGTAACTTATGTCCCGCAGGAAAGTTTATGTACAGTCAGAATTGATGCAAGGGCACGAGGGAAGCAGACACAATGAAGCAACACCTCTGAGCTGGTGGGAGAATTGGACTTGGACTTGAAATACCAGGAGAGCCTTTAGTCTCCCTCCCAGGACTGGTTTTAGGATGAACGTAGATAGTGTTTAAGTGTAAAATTGTCACATGAATGACAAAATATTGTCATTCATATATGATTTTTAGAATACAAATACTAAAAATCATAAACCAAGGAACGAAATGGCTACCTACAAATGTCATCCTCTCAATACTCAACACTTTGTTTTCTTGATCCAGTACTTAACGAGCCACCAGATGCATGAATTAAATAAAATCAGAAGAATTATATCATCTTCAGTTGAGATTCTCTCCTGCGTACAATGTTAATACTACTTTAATTTAACCTTACTGTACATTGGAAAGCATTAATGTAAAGAGGAAAAGCCTATGCTCTCATTTCAGCCTAATTCCTTGTATTAACATGTATTTCAATAAACTGACTATATTCTAAAACCTCTGTGTATCATGCAAGAAGCTCAAGTTGACATTCTGGATTTTCCATTTGCATCACCTAACATTTGTTGCATGGTAAGTATTTTTTATCCTTTATACCCTCATGTTGACAGTTTCAATTGTTTTTGTTTTTGCTGTGAAATAGCTACAAAAAGAAAACTGAAAATGCTCAGTTGTATTATGTGTGTTGCGTTTTGCAGTATCTCACCAATACGGAAACTTTACATTATTTCTGATAAAGGCACTAAATCATTTTTTGCTTGAAAGTTCAATCATTCATCATCAAATATTTATGGAAGTCTATTATATGAGAGGTGCCATACTAGAAACTGGACATACAAGGATTAATACAAATATATATTCTTATTGGTTTCTGGTGTAAAGTTATCAGTAGGTTTAGGATGATTTTAGATGACTTCAAGACCAAAAGAAGAAAATTTGTTGATGATATATCCTTAACATTTGACATCAACATAGAGAGGCATTTGTAATCTACAAAATAACCATTTGTACCATTTCTGGGTGAGAGGCATTATACTCAAGAGAATGGGACAGACCTTCCTGAAAAGGAACAGATTCTCCACTGTCTGCAGACGATGTAGCTTCCTTTACTCAATGTACAAGAAGCAGGAGTTTAAGAAATATTGAGGGCAATGAATGTGTAACTCCAAAACAATCCATAAAACTTTGGGATTATGTCAGGTATCTCAAATAGCTACAGAGGTTTTAGTATCTTCAGGATACAAATACAACAAATAACTTTAAAACAAACACAGTATGCATATTAGTTAAACATTGTACCACTTCTCCTAGTCTTTCATAAGTGTCTCTATTTGACCCGAGTCTTAAAAAACAAATAAAGAAAATCTATTGTGAAATTTTTTACCTTTTGTAAACAATCTGGGCCAGCAGTAGATGCTTTAAAATACCTTTTGGATGAAACTGCACGTTTATTTTTTCTTTCTTTGTTATTGAATTTACTGGGGTGATGGTTAATTAAATGTTTCAAGTGAACAGTTCTATGATACGTATCTCTATATTGTATGTTCATCACCCCAAGTCAAATCTCCTTCCATCCCCATTTATCTTCCCTATGTCTTCTTCTGCCTACCCACACCCCTGTTTTTCTCTGGTAATCACCACACTGTTATCTGCATCTATGAGTGAAACTGCATGTTTAGATTCTTCATTGAAGCCATAAAATTATATAGATGATACAAAAAGGTGAACTAATATCTCAACTCCCAACACTACACTGACTTCAGGTTTTCCTCTATTGAAAAATGGAGAAGTTGATTAACTCTACTTAGTGAGTCAATATAATAAGCATATCTGAACAATCCTATTTCCATTTTCTTACTAATAGGTGTGTTTGCCAAAACTTGTGTCTTGCTAGTTTGTCTTTCCTTTAGAATCATAACCCGGATATGAATTTAACATGAACATGAAGTAAAATAAAACTAAGGGATCATTATCCAATACAATATATATAAAGAAAACTGTGGTGAAATTTGACTGTCTAATAAATTATCTCATAATAATTTTATGCTACATTCTTTTACATAGATGAGAGGATGCTATAACTATGAAGTGAAAACCCATGAACATATCAATATAGCATTATTTTATATGTATGTGTTTTTTTACAATTAAACTTCAGTCATGCCAAGAGCGTTTCCTCACATATTAATTCACAATTTACTAAAGTCACTTTTCAATAAATATTTTAGTGCACTTGCAAAGCATGCAGTGAATTTTAGACTATGAAAAAATCATTTTAAATAAAATCAAATGTCACATGTAATGTGGTGATAAATCACATTATTCATGCTTATTTATTTTAAGGAATAAATAAGCATTTGCCTTCCCTACTGAAATTTATAATAACCTACACTTGAAATGGTACAGCATCAATAATTCAGAGATTTAATTTTCAGAATTAATTCAAGCACGGATTTCAGTCAACACTTCTGAACAACAGAAATCTCAACTTCCCATTTGTCAGAGGTTGTGAGTGGCTCCACCCCCAGGGGTATTTATTGTTTGGGATAAATATTCACACCTGCTGTTATGCTTCTAGGGAAGGCAATGTATTTCATCCACATTCAGACTCAGCTCTGCCACTCACCAGCAGAGTGACACTGAGCAAGTCACTTAACGTCTCTGTTCCTCTGCCTCTTCTGACTGTTCGTACGCACCTCACAGGGTTGCCGTGACATACTAGTACATTCCTCCCAATATTAGTAACATATGTCCCGAAGGTGCTGTGAGGTTTAAATAAGTTAACATTTGAAAAGTTCTTAGAAAAAGGGCTGACATAAAAAAGCTCTAAAATGAAACATTTTAAATGGACCAAAAATCTGAGATATCACTTACAAAGGACCAAAATCTGAGTCTGCATAATGAAGAATATATACATAAGGAGGTCAAGACTTGTATCAGCCTAAATACTTCTTAAAATCCACCTGACAATAAAACTAATTATGATTACGCCTTTCAGAGGATGCCCTTGACATTTCTTGGATGAAGAGAAATCTTATAAACTATGCAACAGACCACATTCAGTGATAAAATTTTTCTTCAAATGTGTTTTGTTTAACACACAACCATATATTCTCATTGACTAAGCTGTTCAGTAACAAAATATAACAAAATACCCTAATATTCACTACTATGACCAAAAAAAATCACAGAAAATTTCTCTCCTTTTTTTATCTTTTAATATGTTACAGTGAAAAAAAAGTTATTTCCTGTAAAACAATAATTACTTCAAATCCCTCGTGAAAAGATCAACAGGACACATGGTTTGTGTTTGCCTGCATTCTGAGCAAAGCAACCCTTTCTCCACCACACTGTTTGGGATCTCTCCCCAGGTTCGTCTGCAAAATATATTGGTCTGCCTCAACTAGAAAAAAAACATAAAACATAATCTTGACTGTTGTTTCATTCCCTTTATAAGACTAATAATTCAGTTGTCTTATACCCAGAAATGTAGTCTTTATGACATGTTCTGTTTTGTCCTGACATTTTTATACCATTTTTCTTTAAGTGTCACATATTTCGAATGGCTTTACCATAAGAGTTACTGCTCTGGAGGCCCCGCTCCGCTCATGGAATGCAGGGAAGTTAGATGAGTGTGTGCATGGGATTGAGAACACATGGACACGGGGAAGGGCTGGGGCTTTCTCATCGATCTGAGATAGTCAAACATCTAACCTATTTCCATTTAGAAGTAAAATAAAGAGAGGGGCTTTTCATCATGTTTTAATGTCACTTTTCTTAGAATTGTAGTTATTCAAGACCAAGCCTACATGATATAAAGTAAAAACATTTTTCTCAAGTTTAAAGCACATATCATACGTTTTTTTCATGCAAACCATGTATACTTTTATTAAACATAGCTTTCCAACTTTGCATCTGGAGTACAGAATTAATTTTTATCATATTAGAAAGGATATTACAGAACTGGGAATATGTGGCTAGTCCAAGCCCTAGAAGTGACTTGAAAGTTACTTTCCCATCCAGTGTCTGTGGCTCAGTGAGAGAAAGTGAGTGATGGAATATGATCTAACAAAACTCTCCAGCTTTTTAAAGTTACATATACCTGTTAGCCATTCTTTGAACTATTAATCAAATGCTTACATTATAATACCCATGAATAATTTAAGCTATAATTGATCCTACTATAAACAGTTCATGAATAGGCATAGGTATAGACGGATCACCCCAATCTTTGTATACTCTGTTTCCTCTGTCAGGAAGAAAACAAAAAAAATTAACTATGTGACAAGTTTAAAGCCTTGTCTTGTGTTCTCCAATGTCAGAGATCAGATACTTTTTCTTTTATTCTGTCAGTCTCTCCTTATAGTAGTATCAGTAAGTTCACTGAAATGGCTTCTACAATTTGTTATCACATAGTTCACAATTGTCAGGAATCAGTAATTAAAAGGGAAGCAAGGTTTGGGGTCTGGTATTTAAAACTTTGACCGAAGAGGGGAGGGAATTTCAGGGGAAAAGAGAAAGGGTTTACAGGAACAAGTATAAAGGACACATGGACAAAAAACTAAGGGTGGTGGAAATGGGAGGGAGGCGAGGAGGGCTGGGATGGGAGGGAAAGACAGAAAACTGTACTTGAACAACAATGAAAATTTTTAAAAAATTTTAAAGACTAAAAAAAAAACTTTGACTGAGACAAATACAGTGTTTCAGAAATAGTCATATGTTTAGCAACTTTTCCAGGAACAACAACACTAAACAAACCAAAAAACAAAAAAACAAAACCAACATGGTTCTGAGAATTATATTAAGGACTAGCCCATCCTAACTTTGAAAAAGGAAGTTTCTCACCACAAACCAAACACATTCCTCTAAGTGTGCACTCTCTCATAAATTATAGAGATATTCTCTCTACCACGTACCACTAGCCATCACACGCTCATTGAGTGCGAGGGGTAAAAAGAAGATGAAGAAAAAATATCTAACTGGCTGCATTGTAAGAACATACAGTTTTCTAGGGATGTTGCTCAGAGGGCATTATGCCCACTGAGCTGAGGTGAGGACCGGTGTGCTGCCTTACTTTATATGCTCCTAGAGTTGGATACAAAGGGTAGACTTGCTGTGATCCCAAGCTCAGATCAGCGGCAAAGAGGCCCCAGGGGACAAGCACTGTTGTAAACCAATGGGAGCCTTACCCTTGGATCAATAGTAGCACACTGGGACCAGA